TATCACCAACAACATTACAACAACAACAGACAAGTAGCAAGAAAACAAAATTTGTATTATCAGATGAAGCAAGAATGGCATTCCATCAATTAAAAAATATAATGACAACAGATCTCATACTTGATATACCTGATGATACATTACCATTTAAATTACAAACAGATGCAAGTGTAGATGGAATTGGAGCGGTTTTAATGCAGGTTACTCCAAATGGTGATCGACCACTAGCTTATATGTCAAAAAAGTTAACAAAAACACAAACAAAATGGGCGACAATTGAACAAGAATGTTATGCAATAGTACAAGCTGTCGAGAAGTGGGACAAGTATCTTCGTGGACATGAATTCACTTTGGAAACTGATCATGAACCATTAGTTAATTTTTCAAATAAAGAACAATTAAACAAAAGATGTGAACGATGGAGATTAAAATTAGCAGAATATCGATTTAAGGTGAAACATATTCAAGGGAAGAAAAATAACATAGCAGATTATCTTTCAAGATCACCAGTGGAAGCAGCCGAAGAAGATCCGGACGAACGAGTTCAATATGAATCAACATCAACACAAACAGATTCATCATTATCAACAAGCAATAATAAATTAATACCATTAACAATAATAGCACCGGTTACTCGAGCTGCAGCCAAACAACAACCCATGACGACAGCATCACCAACATCAACGAATGGTAAAACAACGGAACTCATCCCGCAAGGGAAAGGAGTGATGAATAAAGATCCAACGGTGGATGGAGATCCAAATAGGATCATTCCATTTGACATGGAGGATTTAAGAAAAGAGCAAGAAGGAGATGCGATGGTACAAAGAATAAAAAAGAACATTAAAAAACATAAACAATATATATTAGAAGATGAAGTATTACTGAAAAAACAAAATTCAACACATCCTTCAGTACCATTCGTTCCACAAGGAAGAATACGAGCGGATATTTTAAAAATTTATCATGATACACCTGCAAATGGTGCTCATTTCGGTCGTGAGAAAACAACAAGAAAAATACAAGAACGTTACTACTGGCCAACGATGACTGCTGATATTCGAAATCATATACAATCATGCTTATCTTGTGCACAAAACAATCATCAACGTCAGAAACCTCCAGGAAAACTCAAACCAATACCACCACCAGATGGAATATGGAAACTACTTAGTATGGATTTTCATGGTCCAATAACACCAACAACTCGTCAAGGCAACAGATATATTATATCATTAACGGATGTATTATCAAAATTTGTTATAGCAAAAGCTGTTATAGATTGTTCAGCAGCAACAACAGTAGACTTTCTTACGAAAGATGTTATTCTAAGATATGGAACACCAACATGTATATTAACTGATAATGGTACACATTTCACATCTCAACATACAAATAATTTATTTCAAAAACTTGGTGTTACTCATCTATATACAACAGCATATCATCCGCAAACAAATGGACAAATTGAAAGATTCAATGCTACAATGGATGGAAAAATAGCAGCATTATGTAATGAACGAC